ACTTTTGCTGAAAAAAAGGTTTTAAATGACAAAATGTGATTAATGGGCATATATAATTTGACACACTATAATTTGTATAAGTAAATAAACATGAAAAGTTATTCAGTAAATACAATTTAACTTTTAAGTTAGAACTTTATTTTTAACCTTCAATTTTAAGAAGGTTCATACTTACTCTTTTTATGTATGAAGCACAGCTATACATAAAGTACATAATATGTAGGGGCAACTAGAAAAAGTCTAAAAAGGTTCCCTAGGGGAGACACAATAAAAGCAAGTTGAGAAACAGTTACTACAACATCTATCAGATGAGAAATGGAGTGGAGTCATTCAAGTGGAGGGTCGAGCACTGCAATCTGCTGAGTACTGGAACATCAAGTAAGTACTCCCCCCCCACACACACACACACAAAGTGAAACGAACAGGAGTCAGAAGAGGAGGCAAAAACAAACAAAACCACAGGGCTAAGTGAACTGCATGTTACCGGCTCAAGCGTCAAACACCGTGGCGCCCAGTACAGGGCTGCTCCCTGTGTGGGGATCATGGCTGCTGCAAAACTGGTTTGAGTTGTTTAATCCCTTCCAAGAAGGTAACAAAAACCGTATCTGAAGGCTTGCCCGAAACATGAAAAAGCAGAGAAGTAGAGGAGTAAGTACTGTTTTTACGCAGAGTAGTAAGGTCCAGAAGCTTAAAAACATGTAAACCTTTTTCCTTTCAAACTTGATGCCTTAAGAGAGTGATGCCTTTGTTGGTGGTAACTAAGTGTGGACACATCATATGGATCCCCCCCTTTATTCGAGTCCAGAATATTTGTGTAAATCAAACCATAAATGAAACACCTTTACTTCAACAAGTTGTTCAACAGATCTTCTCACATATTTCCAAGCTCAAGTTACACTAAAAACCAGTGTGAAGACTAGGAAAACCCTCACAGTTTCACCCTATTTTTTTAGCATCTGAAATCCTTCACAGGTGTCCTAAAAGAGGAAAAGGTCATGACCTACAGGTCAAGTCAATGATCATTAGGTGTTGCTGTAACAGAAGGTATCTAAATAACCACTAGGGGTACATATGGTGCAGGATAAAATGTGCATATTACTTACATGGTTATTGTTCATTTCACAAGATGAATTCTGAGCAGCATGAAAACTAGAATGGTCAAAACTAAAAGCTGTAAAACCTGTCTCTCAGGGATCTTGTCTCAAGTTAAACTGGTTTTCTGGAGAATTGTAAATAAAACAAAACTGAACTCGGTAAAAAAATTTAAAAAGGGGAAAAATTACAAACTAAAGTCAATACAGCCAACTGCACACAAAGCCTACCACCTCCTACAAGAAATTATTTTTGCCACTGATATGCCCAGCAACCACATAACTGTCCTAAACACAAAAACGTTGAGATTTTTTTCTTGCCCAAAAGTGGTTTCTGAAAAGGATAAATGCATTCTGACATACATAATTTAGTTTGCAACAAACCACAAAAGGGAAGAAGCTTGGGGGAGGGGGGAAGGCATATATATGCTGCAATAATCTGACCAAATGCCATTAAAACACTGAGCTGGACCCTTCTGAAACCCTCAAAGGCTCTACAGTCTGCTAAAATGTTAAAGGTTTTTTTCCTCCCTCCTACTTAACTGCCCTTATTCTATCATCAATTCCATGTTCTATCTCACGCTACGTTAAATGCAAAGGTGCTCAGCGAGTGAAAACTCTTAAGACTAAGCGACCGTGGCTTCTAAGTCTGGCCGCAGTCGTGAGCCAGGCGTGCTCCGGCACAGACTCCTCAGGCTGCAGAGAGCTGCTGCCTTCATATAAACAAGGTTACATCCAATGTCAATAGAACGCCCCGGGATTGATGCAATGATCGATCAAATGAGCTTCCAGATTTCTCTCACAACGGACAGGGCCACATTTCTCAAAGGGGAATCAAATTCTGTTCCACTCAGCACTACCACCAAACAGCACAGCACAAAAGGAAGTCGGTGGTGTTCATTAGAAAAGACAGAAGAAATTAGGTATAACTGCCAATGAACTGACATTAGCAGGAATCTCTGGTGAACAGACTTAGCTCAATTATAAATGCAAAGCCACCAGAGATTTTTAATTATTAAAAAGTAAACCATATGCCAGAGTAACAGAAGACAACTCAGTAATCAAGAATGGTAGGAAATGGTAGCTCTTAATCTGCTTCTATTCTTTTTGATACTCTCAAGACGTTCTCTTTGCAGAAAAAGCTATATGCAAAATAACAGTAAATCGGTAGAAATGATGTAGCTAAACACGCTCCAACTACCAAATTCCTGTGTTTACATATTTACTTAGGAGATATATACGTATATCTATATGATCTATATAATATATACATGAAATTTTAGATGAATACCAGCTTTGCTACTGACTTATTTTGACAAACCACTTACTTTAAGTGTTGATTTCTTTAACCATAAAAGAAGACCATGTTTGTCATTAATCAAAATAGACTTAGAAATGCCTATGAGAAATGAGGAACTATTATTTAGAATGACAGTAATTCTCTTTGGTTTGATGGCTCTTATAGAAAGCACTTTAAAGATGTGGCTCATGCTGGTGATAGGGACACTAGAAGTAAATACCCTGTTTTATTTTCCCAAAATAGCCAGTTTAGATATACTGAAATATGTACTGGTCCAGGCCACCCATATACATAAAGAGGTTATACCAAAGCTTTTCAAATTCATAAATCTAGGATATTTCATAGACGTCAAAACTTTAAAACATTCGAATATTTTAATATGAAAGCCTAAATAAATTCAAAAGGAAACAGAATATTGACTCTGTCCTCATACTAAATCAAAACCATAGTAACAACTTGGTCTAAAACACTGAACGCAAAGATTTACAACCACATGAGAAGGTTACAATTTATGAATGCATTTTCTAATTAAAAAAAAAAAAAAACCTTCAAACCAAAACAGACACCTACATATAAGGGAAATTAAGTACAAAGCATTATATATTTTAGCACCAAGATTTAAATACTGCCATAGGTTTAGAATTATAAAAATCTGACTTTTAAAAAGATCAACACATACTAGCTGTTATTATAAAAGTTCCAAGCGGCACATACCATGAAATTTTCCAAATGCTAAGTGCTATAGCTCCTACCTTTCAGAAGTTTCTTAAATCAGTCTTCTTGGAATAGCTACGCCCGACACTGAAGTTCAAGTTTCAAGTCCACACCTCACTACTGTAGTTTGGTGTAGACTCTACCACAGTAGACACACTCCCATAGCTTCCTCACTACTG